AAGTGGAAAATTTGCAGCAGTACCAGAGACCAACACATTATTTCAACCAATAAAGGAATCCGCCTCAACAACCAAATCCATTTAAAAGCGATAGGAACGTCTCGAACTTCAATCAACCAAAAATTCAGCGCATCAATCAAACCGCAAAAGTAGACTACGATGGACATTTTGAGACACAGAGTACTTTGTGAGGCGAGTAAACGGGTTGCCTTGTATCGAAACAAAATGTGGATTAGCCTACACACCCGCTATAGTTTTAGTGGACACAGGATCAACTAATATTTATATTAGCTACAAATGAGAAATCGGTCAATACAAATTATTCCTTTTAAAAGAAAAACTTTACATGGCTTTTCAGTCATTTATTCAAAAAAAGTCATTGGACGTATGGATATGATTTGGTATATTATGAAATAGATAAGCTAAATGAATTCGATATGATAATAAAAAAACGTTCAAATTAGAGATGGCGATCTGAGCCAATAAAATTGATTTTTTAAATCGATATGTAGTACTGGATCGATTCATTGGATCGATACGTCACTGTTTAAAATCGACATTCAATTTTTTTTGTTTTTGTATTGTGGGCACTCACATATGGCAACACTGTATGTCAGTTATTCATTCTCTGTACATTCTTGGAATTTCARTTTCAACTGAATTCCTAATTCTTAGCTTTAAGTCTAAGAAGCGTCACTCATTATACAAACGCCAGCAAGAATACAAGTGTTCTTTAATAAATAATTTTTAATTTTATATTATTTTGGTGTTTCATTCGCAAGAGTATTAACCATAGAATTAAAAATCTGTATGTATATTCCGCGATACGATAACTAATTGAGAGTACGTAAGTAGAGCGCTCCTTATTTTTATTTGATGCTATAATTTTCAGTTTGTTCTGTTATTTGTGATTGTGATAAGCATGATAAGCTGTCATTGAAAATCTTTGCACATTTTACATACATACGCAAGCATAAACAGTAATACATCGTACAAACATACATATGTACATAGATGCATCCATATGAGTCCAGCTAGTTCAGTGTTTCCCAAACTTATATTGTCTACCGCTCACTTTGAGAATAAATATTTTTTTAGCGTCCCCATTTTTTCACCTATTTGAAAACCACTATAACTTCAAATTAATTTGTGTGACCTATATACATATGTATGTATATTATCGGAGAATTCTAAACGAAACTTTTGCTATAACCAGCAACTTACATACAATGGCGCTTAGGTCTCAAGTTAACTCTTACGGGCTCCACCTGCCAATAAGAATGATTATTGAAACACAACTTTATAGTATTAAAACAGAGAACCTTTTATTAAAAATGAAACTAAAATAATCGATTCATATATAAAAGCTAATGTTAAGGATGAATCTGATGCTGTTTAATAAGTTTGTTAATATCAGGTTCCAATTTACTCAAGAACAGTCGCAAGTCGCCACGTTCGGTAACAAGCAAACGATTTCTATTTTTATGACGATATGACGATGGGAATGCTATCAAGAATCGTTGAACGATTGACCACAATCCAGGGTATAATTGCGAGATCGGTTTTTGTAGCCAAAATTCTTGGTAACCATTTTTCAACTTGATTTTTATTGCCTCGTTTGTTGTCAATTCTATAAGTTCTTCTTCCAGCTGAGGTGACATTGTTGTGTTTACATTTGAAAACGGATCCAACACCCAGTCTGAGTTCAAAATATCCTGGTATCGTGAGGTGAAGTCAATGTGGAGGTTTTCCAAATGTTGGCAGTAGGCAAACAATTCGTCGTTACTGCATGATACTGATAAATTCGGAAAATTGTGAAACTCACGTCTGCCCAGATTCTTTTTGTGTAGAACGAGCGTCGACGCTTTTTGTTTTAATTAAATTTAGTTTATCGCCTTGAAGTTGGAGATTCAAGTCGTTGTTCTTAGTTGCTGTATCTTTAGTTTCCAAGAACTCTATAACAGAGTCAAACAGGTTGTAGAATCGAGTCAGACAATTGCCTCTTGATAGCCAACGAACTTCAGTATGAAACAACAAACCATTGAAATTCTCGTCATTAGTAACACAAAGCTGATGAAATAATCTATTCAAGGAGCTGTTGCGGATTTTATTGACTGCTTCGATGACATATTGCAGTGATTGAAATAGTTTTTCACTTAAGTTTCTAGCAACTAAATGTTGTCTATGAATAACGCAATGTACACCAAGGACACCTGGAATTTTATTTTTTAAGTGCGCTATTAAGCCTTTATGGCACCCTATCATAGCCGTAGCGCCATCCGTAGCAATTGAAATAATATTTTTCAAAGGAATCTCTTTCTCATCGCAAAACTTTTCCAATTTTGTATCGGTCTCTAAATTTCTAACAAATAATAGTTCTTCACATATTTTCTCATCTTTAATAAACCTCACGTAAGACAGCAACAATGCTTCATTAGTTGGTAAAGTGGACTCATCGAGCTGAATTGAGAATTGGCTTGTACTCAGGTGATCGCACAATGATTCTTCAATGAGGATAATATCTGCGGCCGGTTTATGAAGCACGGTAGTTATTACTTCATTTATTGCTGGCAATATTAACTCTTCTCCGATGTTATGTGGTTTGACTTTTTGAGCAATTAACAAAGAGATATTGTACGAAGCTCGAAGTCCGTCGTCATGTTGCTTAGCAGCCGCCGAAAATAGTTTTGCTACCCTTGGCTGAGTATTATGCTTCTTCTATAGGTCTTGGAAATATGTTACATTCTTGTCACTCTTATCTGGATGCATTTTATTCAAGTGATCTTGCAGTCTTGAAGGCTTCATTGCTTCATTCGAATACGTTTTTAGACATAGAAGACACAAAGGGTGGGTTTATGGGATTTTTAATGAATCCGAATTTAATGTATTCCGCACAGTATTGCCGTCTCTTCTTTTTTTTACTTCCGACATTGTTTTGCTTTGAGAGATACGTTTAACTTCGCGAGTACTGTAAAGGAGGCGTAAGTAATGCTCATCTATTGCGCGCAAAACCACAAATGAATATAAATCAAATATTACATTGTTTATATAGGAATGCTGAGCACAATTATTATATAGTAGTCCAAAAATATGAATTCTTATTTTTCCCAGAAATACAGTTGTAAAATAAGGATAAAGTCCTTTTTTTATTTTCCACATAAAGATTTAAGGAGTTCAAAAGCTCAAAACGTGCGCTACATCAGCTACCTACCCGACGTCATTTCGCAAGTGATAAAATAAATTTTTCAAGAGCTCAAAGCATGCGCTACATTAGCTCGAACCTACCTACCCTATACCTTTGCGCAAATGATTATATTATGATAGCAAATGCCCACATTCAGATTTGGCAATGGCAATAGCAATACGTTTGACAGTTAGTATTCTATAAATTCTATCCCCGTTATGAAACGGAGCGACCGATTGACATGATTTTCATTTTTTCTATATTCAATAAAATAGGACAGATATATGAACTACGCGGAGATCTTTTAATTCATATTAGTTGATGTTCACAAGTTGTTGTTGAGAATCGAGAGCTCATGTAGTCGTTGTCTAAGAGGCCTCCTAGCTAAATAAAATTACAAATAACCCCCCAGGCCTCTACACAACGACTGCGGAGCCCAGGGGGGCGTTATCACCCACTTTGGGAAACACTGATCTAGTTGATTAAGTTACGAGTTTGCGAGTGGATATTTGCAGAATGCCGGTAAATGTTCAAATATTTGCATAAGTCATATATATACTATATATGGATAGCAAGTGTTAACACTACCACTACTAACCACAGTATCAAATAAAACATTGCAGAAAATCGTATAAATTTAACGTTTATGAAATAGGCTAGAATTTGCAAGAATATAATAGCACAAGGTAAAAATAATACTAGTAAGTAAACCTTAATTAAGTAAAATATCGAATAAAGCAATCAACAATTTTTTATCTAACAACCACCAAATACTCAAAGATAAAACTTCCATAATTTTGTATACTCTAGATTATTATATTTATAAACGAGTTTAACTTAACTTTATAACTCGAAACTYCGGGGTATGAAACTTACACAACTGACGAAAGTGCGTTATCACAAAACAAGTTACAATGCATTACAAAAAAATATATAAATTTATATAAGTATGTATATAATGTATAAAGGCGTCGCGGAGTCAATACTGCAAAATTACTCAATTGTTAATTTTTAGGGCATGCTCTCATCAAAGTCATTATTGTGTTGCYCTAACGCACTTTGTCCAGTTCAAAATGTGTTTATATATTGCACTACATGTATATATATATTACTTAAGAACTATAAACTTTTAACTTAAGAACTTTTATTTAATATTTCCCTTTACAATGCAATCAGCTTGGTAGCGCATTGATACTCCGCCCGTAGCTCCTGCAATTGAACGCGACTATTTTGTCGTTCCGATGGCGGCGATAGTCAGCTGATGTTGGTGACAATACACCTGTCTGTGGAGAAAAAGCGGACAATTATTTATAAGGTTCTTTGACATTTTCGAACAAGGCCACCAACCTTTGACGCAATTTTACGAGGATCCAAATTCAAGCCAATATTTTCCATACCTTTGGGCAATTTGGACAAATGAGATATGGTTTTTGGTCCAAAGTGGGCGACGCCACGAATATTTTAAATTTTTAACAAGTAAGGAAGAGCTAAGTTCGGGTGTCATCGAACATTTTATGCTCTCGCATGATAAAGCAATAATTATTGCGAATTACATGAAAATATCTGAGAGATTTACCGATATTTTCGGTGAAAGGTTAGGTTAGGCACTGAGTTCTTTGTGTTCGGTATCAGGGACCTTGAAAAGTTATAGTTTGYTTATAAAGTTAAATGAGAAACTAATGTATTTTTCGGGTAAAAGTGATCTATGGAATCATTTCMTAAAAAAGGACTTAGGAGGCACATGCAAATATTGTCACCAGGAAGTAAAAACTAAGGGATACACAACAAACTTGCGAAATCATTTACTAAGACGATATCCAACAATTAACACTAACTCTCAAAAAGAAGAGTGAGAGTGAAAGTGGTGGTGGTAGTAAATGTGATAATGCAGGAAATGGTGAAGGAAATGAACAAGTTAGTGCTGTATTTCTTATACCAGATTCTTTATTTTCCAATTCGTTGAGTTTGAAAAAAATTAGACTCAGAGTTCAATAAATCGAAATAACTATGTTTTTTTTATTTTAGGTTGTTACTGAAAGCGTGGCTTCTTCTGCTGCCTCTCTATCAGTCTTAAAACAGCAAACATTGACATTTTGCTTAACAAATATAAAATCATTTGGAGGTAAGACATAATACAAATCTTTTTTCAATCAATTTTCATGAAAATCAGATGCATACAGAATCGAAAATTGTAACTTTTAWTAATTTTCAGATAATKGTGCTAAGCGTGGTCAAATAACAAATGCAATAGTCTTCATGATAGCAAAGGAYGGTTTACCTCTCAATACTGTGGAAAAAACAGGATTTCAATATTTAATGAAAATARTAGCACCGCTTTATAAAGTTCCAGCCAGAAAAACAATTACTCATATGATTRACGATAAATATGACATTCTTTCGACACAACTGAAATTAAAAATACGAGAAGTAGAAGCATTTTCTCTAACTGCAGATGTTTGGACTGACTCACATAACAGTCAAAGCTACTTAGGCTTAACTGGTCATTGTATATGTGAAAATAAATTAATGAGCATAATTTTTGGTGTAACTGCTCCAACAGAACCCCACAATGCTGACTACTTAGCAAAAATAATTATTAATATGACAGAAGAATGGGGCATCACAAATAACAAAGTAATAACGTCGTTTATCACGGACAATGGCGCAAATATCGTTAAAGCTGTCACAAATGTTTATGGAAAAAATAAACACATGCCATGCTTTGCCCACACATTAAACTTAGTAGCATCAAAACCATTTGATACTAAAGATGGACTGGAAGAAGCTAAAAATTTACTAACAGCTGTTAAAGATATAACAACATATTATAGCATAATACAAATGCTGCTGACTCTTTAAAGAAAGCTCAGGATCACCGAACAAAGCCTTGGGGCTTATTCAGTCTGTGTGTACGAGATGGAATTCTGTTTTTTTTATCAATTCGAACGGTTTGTTGAATTATCCGAAATAATTGCGCCAATATAACTCAAGTATCCTAAATCGCCAGCAATGCTAACTGCACAGCAGTTAGAATTCATAAAAGATCTTATAAATATATTAAGACCATTGGAAGCAATTAGTAATAACAAAGGAAATTTCAGGAGAAGATTATGTTACAGTAAAATATACCAATAGTATCTTGCCTGACTGAAACATATAATAATATGAAAACTTCAACTGATATTGGTGCTAAAACTAGAATTTTAATTGTGGACGGCTTAAGGAAAAGATTTCGGAGTGTCGAGCAAGTTCATTGTTGGCTGCTGCGACCATTTTAGATCCATGATTTAAAAAAATTCATTTTGCTGACCAAGTAGCTTGTTCACGACCAATAAATAGAATCAACTTTCAATAGAAGAGACAGATAATTATATGAAAAAAGGAATTTGGGATTTTCATAAGTTGCTTGTCAAAAAGCAACTTTCTATGTACAATGCACTTGCACAGKAAAGTCAAGGCTTAAATGAAGAATTCAAACATTATTTATCGCAAGCAGTTGTGCACTTGAAGTATGACCCTATACTTTACTGGCAAGAACAGAAAAACTCTATTTATCACCACGTTCACTCAATAGCCATAATGTACATGAGAATTGTGGAATCATCTGTTCCTTGTGAGCGCCTTTTTTCAATTGCCGGAAACATTGCAAGTGATGAGCGAAACCGCTTGGATCCCAGTAGACTTTACAGACTGTTGTTTTTAAAAAGTTTAAATATTGAGCATTGGGAACTATAAGCTAAATTATCTATTTGCTGTGTAACCTAAAACTTGTCAATTTTGAAAATAAATATCTCGTTCTATCGGATCTGATACTTTGATATGGTAAGAAAAATAATTGTTATTATCGAAGTCCCTGACTTTACTAATTAAAGATCGTTAATTATAACATTCGTCTTATTTTTAATAAAATTGATTAATACTTATAATGTAATAGAAAATTGTAAAAAGATAGATTTTTTGAAAATCGATATTTTAGCTCTCGATTTTTGTGTGGATCGATTCATCAGGTCACGATTCGAATCGATTTAAATATCGATCTTTTTCGAAATGTATCGCCATCCCTAGTTCAAATAAGTGAAACTCTTCCTTTCCCTACAACTATTCAGGCGACAATTAGAACCCACACAGAGGATCCAATATGGAACAATTTCCATATACCATTGTGGATAACGACTTTGGGAATAAAGAAATTAGCGAGTTACTAAAAATGGAATTATTAAACAGGGTAAAAGCCCATATAATTCACCCATATGCACTGTTCCAAAAAAAGGCACAGACGAACAAGTTAAGCCAAAAAGGAGAATGGTAGTTGATTTCCAAAAAATTAATGCTCAAAGAATCACAGATAGATATCCAACACCTGACGTAAATATGACTATCCAAAATCTAGGAAAAGAAAAAGAATTTTCAACTATACATTCAGAATCAGGATTCCATTAAATTTTAATAAAGGAATCCGATAGAGAAAGGATCGCTTTTGCAGTCAATGGAGCAACGTATGAGTTTGTTAGTTGTTTATTGTCAATCTTTCAACGATGCGTAGACGATATCTTACTAGAATATATTGGTAAATTTGCAACACACGATTTAGAGACTTCAACCGCAACTATTGTATAAACCTACAAGTAACCAATCCTTCATTTTTCATTAACACATACCCAAAAAATCTACTACAAATTAGGCAATTGGTACGGGTTGCCCCTAATTATTGTACTACAAATTAGGCACTTGGTTCGGGTTGCCCCCAAATATTCTACTACTAATTAGTCACTTGGTACGGGTTGCCCCAAATATTCTACTACTAAAACGTCCAAATGCCTTAAATCTGCTATAGTGTGTTGCGGTGTTAGGTTTTAAAATTTAATCAGTTTTGTCCAAAATATCAATTATTGTATCAATATATTATTAAATGTTTCGAATTTTATAAAAAAATATTTATATAATATTTGTGTAAAAACTATGTATTTCGTGCAACCGTGTAATGTGTCAAATCATTTCAACAGACATTTTTTTAAGCTTAAGAAGCTCAGGAAAATTTAAATAGTTATTTTAAGTTTGTTTTTAGTAAAAAGTAAATCATCATTCAAAGAGATATTCAGCGTATGTAAGTATAGTAACATTAATTAATTAAATTTGTTAATATTTGTTGTTTGATTATGTATAGATGCCTTGCAGAAAGTGTATCCCTTCCCATCAGAAGGGGAAATGTCCAGGTCCAGGAGTTTTATGTATAAAAATAATATAATTATGCACATAATATTATCGTAAGTAAATAAATATGTAAAGTTAGTGCAAATAAGGTAACAAGAAGTGAATAGGGTCGTCCTAAATCGTGATTTTATAAAAGTATTTGTTTATAGTGTATGTCAAAGAGTATTCAACAAAGTGAACTAAGTATTTGACTTACGCTTATTTGACTATAAAATAGTAAACAATTCATGTATTTGTTTATATTACCCGTGTGTTTTTATTTTTTTGATCTTGAACAATATGAAGCCACTTGCTTTACATACATATATATGATAAATATAAACAAACAAAAATTAAATTAATAGTTTTGTTTCTAATATTGTATTGTCGTTGTGATATTTTTGATGCAACTGTTTATTTTTAAATTGTTAGTTTACTAGTTTAGTTAATGTACGTATTTTTTGTTTAATTTCAACTAGGCGGCACGATTGGATCAAGCTGTTGGACGTAACAAATCCAACGGCTACATATTTATTTACGTGCCAAAGACATTTCTCGTTAAAGATGAGGAAGGGACAGCTTATCTCCAGATCAGCTACACCGGATTTAAATTTAAAAGTAGTATCACCTGCAGTTAGAGTAGATAAGGCAATAGGTTGTAGTGGACAAGAAGGTAGTATATTTGACCAACACGAACAAGACATTATAGAATTAGGTAGTGCAGATTTTAACCCGATGCATCTTAGCTCTTCTCCAATCAGAACTGTCTCGACCTCAAACACTAATATGTTTGAAGTTGAGACTTTGGGTAAATCCCTTCAACCCCTATATAATGAAAATCATACATATTCTTCCTCTTTAGGTAACTCTCAAATAGTTAGCACTTGGGCAAATAGTAGGAAAACGCAAACAGAAGATTATTTAACAGAAGGGACACCCAGAAAAAGAATGTATGGGGAGGAGTTAGACAAAAAATCGCATTAAATAGAATTTCTACGCAATAAGGTGAGAGATTTAGAGAATAAAATAGAAATTTTAGAAAATAATAAAAATTTGTCTATAGTAGGACAGGAAGAAAATAGACAAATTTCAGCGCTATGCTTCAAACTTCCTCCACATCTTGCACCCCGTACTTCGAAGGGTTATGAATATGATAGGGAATTAAAAACATTAGCTCTGGCTGTAAAATTTTTATCACCTATTGCGTTCAGGTATTTACAGCCCATTTTTAATTGGCCATCGCAAGTGACCCTCGAACAATTTGTTCAGGGTTGGCCACGTAACCCTGGCTGCAATTTTAGCAAAGTTGAGAAGCCGTGGTTTCACTGACGCACAGAGATATCGAAACATATGCTGTGACGAAATGTCTTTGAAAATTCACCTTCAGTATGAGAGAAATAGCATATTTTTTTGTAGCATAAAGCTTGCACAGGAGATATGAAAAAATATACATTCGAAGCCATAGGTCAACTACAGGGTATTGGATTGCGTCCCTGCCAAATAGTTAGCGACCAAGGGTCAAATTTTGTTAATTTTGCTAGGTTATTAGGAGTATGTAAAGAAAATCCATATTTCGAAGTGAATGACTCGGAAGTCATTTACTCCTTAGATTCTCCTCACCTTTTAAAAAAGTACACGAAACTACTTAGAAAAAAAAAAAAAAATTAAGTCATTGTAAATGGGCGTCCAGTTGAATGGTCGGATATCGTTAATATATGTATATGAAAATGGTACCCCAAACGACAGTAGTTGCACCCATAAATTGACCTCGGCCCACATAGCCCCTAAACCCTTCCAAAAAATGAGCGTGCAATTAGCTTTTCAAGTTTTTAGTCATTCCGTTGCAAGTGCTACGTTCGCCATTTATAGCTCCGGGAAACTGAATAATTCTAAGTCTCAAAACTTTTCAAAGTTTACCAAGACCTACCAAATGTGAACGTAGATGAAAGCAGCTTTCTACATAAAAATGCTTTTGTGTATTTTTGCGGTTATTTATACTATAAATATTTTAAACAACATAATTGTTTAATGCCCTTGCCAAGATTTGATGGTGGTATTACTGAAGAAGATTTTTTTTTCCCTTCAGAAAAGCAATATAATAATTGCCAAATAGTGAAATCACCCCTTGAATTTATAGATTTTCTATCAAAAATCGAAGATATTTATACACAACATTTTGATTCTACTTGCCATAGGATCGGGTTTTCCCAAATATTATTTGAAAAATGGTTAACGTAAAATTCTTGTGTGTTACACATAAATAGTAATCACGTCCGTTTGTCTGTCTATATGAGTCGGAATTTATATGTATATATGTCTGTCAGTCTGAATTATTTTATATTTGTCAAAATGTTTATCTGTCGAAGGCCGAATTTCCATAGTTACCTTGATCTGTGATTTTGAATTGAGAATTTTAGCGATTAGGTTTGTACGCTTATTATCAATATTTTTTATACTCTCGCAAAAAAGTTGCTAAAGAGAGTATTATACATAGTTTTGTTCACATAACGGTTGTTTGTAAGTCCTAAAACTAAAAGAGTTAGATATAGGGTTATATATACCAAAGTGATCAGGGTGACGAGTAGAGTTCAAATCCGGATGTCTGTCTGTCTGTCCGTCCGTCTGTCCGTCCCTTCGTGCAAGCTGTAGCCTGAGTAAAAATTGGGATATCATGATGAAACTTGGTACACGTATTTCCTGGCTCCATAAGAAGGTTAAGTTCGAAGATGGGCAAAATCGGCCACTGCCACGCCCATAAAATGGCGGAAACCGAAAACCTATAAAGTGTCATAAACCTATAACTAAGCCATAAATAAAGGTATTAAAATGAAATTTGGCACAAAGGATCGCATTAGGGGGGGCATATTTGGACGTAATTTGTTTGGAAAAGTGGGCGTGGCCCCGCCCCCTACTAACTATTTTGTACATATCTCGAAAACTACTATAGCTATGTCAACCAAACTGTATAGAGTCGTTTCCTTCAGGCATTTCCCCATACAGTTCAAAAATGAAAGAAATCGGATAATAACCACGCCCACCTCCCATACAAAGGTTAAGTTGAAAATCACTAAAAGTGCGTTAACCGACTAACAAAAAACCTCAGAAACACTAAATTTTACGGRAGAAATATCAGAAGGAAGCTGCATCCAGGCTTTTTTTAAAAATTGAAAATGGGCGTGGCGTCGCCCACTTATGGACCAAAAACCATAACACCGTGATGACATGTACCAGGTATGGGTGAAATCGATTCACAACCACGCCAGAAATCTCGATTATCACTTTATCATGCGAAAATGTTCGGGTAGTTTGATTTTTAAGTGTTTTCGTGTACCAGGTATAGGACCCTTCTTT